GTATGACGTTCACTTTTCTGGGTTTACTTTATAAATGGTACCTATTATGTTTTGTTTATGTTTTTTGTGTGACTATTTTAAAGTATAAAGAAAAATATTTAACAACTTGTATGAGTCGTTGTTAAAAATTTTAAATTATACACTTTGATAAAAATGTACCTCATAGACCAATTAAATAAATTATTTTATACGTTATATAGTTTGAATAATTTAGATTCAGAAGATGTTTGTTGTTGATTTTTAATGAATAAATCTTTTTCTTCTATGTGTCATTTACATTCAGGCTGACTGTTTTCATTTCATAATAGGTAATTATATTTAGTCCACATCTACAAACAGGAAAAATATTAAGTTAAACAACAAATTAAATAATTTTAATTTTATTTAATGAAAAATAATTTAAACAAAAGTTTTAAATATGATAATATAAATATTCTTAAATCTGAATAAATACCTATTTCTTCTAGTTTCTAATTAAGGTTCGCTGTCAATATAAAAAATCAACATTACATACTTATTTAGTTGCTGATCTGTAAATAAATAAAAAAAAGTAAATAAATAATAATACTTTTTAGTATCTTTATGTATAATCTTATATAACAACATTAAAATCATTAATAACTTGTCAGCATTAACGTACTGAAGTTTTTAGAGCCAGGTACAAGATAAACAAACAAAAATAATATACTAACCTAACGTGTATCAGATTTATATGATATTAATGGTTATTCGTTTTTCTTACGCATTGACATGTCATTAGATTAGAGATGATCACTATATATGAGGAACAAATTACCAAATTAACCGTAAAAGGTCGATTTGAAAAATCCTATATGTGTAATGGTGTGCACTAAAACAACTTTAGCTGAAATTGATAAAATATATAACTTAAATAAATAATTTATTATATAATAATTTCCAGATTTCGATAATTTACTTTTAAATTCTAATTTTAAGTTCTAAAATGAAATTATACGTATAATATATTAATATCGTCTAAATTATGGTAAAACTTTTTATAGTTACGATCGATGGTCTCCCAAACTCTTCCTGTACCTATATATGATAGAAAAAATTGAGAATTCAATTTTATCTCATACAAAAAATATTATGAAATAGTTTTTTTTTTTTAATTATTGATTTGAAAATTCTTTTTAAATGTCTGCAATAACTATTTTCTGGTTGAATAATTAATATAATAAACTCTTTTTTGTACAAATCACATTTTAAATAAATCCAACGTCTAATTTATATAATAACTAATACAACAGTTATAATTTAACACAATGGTACTTTTTATGTGTACTTCAGCTGAACGTAGTCTGGACACAGTTATTTAACCAAACATAAAAAATAATATATTTATATGTACTTAAAGACCTGCAACAGAAAACCCTAAAAACACAGGTTTCAAAAGATTAATTTTTACCAACCACGTAGATACCCCATTCGCATCCATGTTACTGTCATCGTCAGATGAATTTAAAGTACCTAATTCTAAAAGTCTAAAACTATGAGTTGTACAAACAAAAAGTCTTATTCGTTATCAAAAATTACAGTCACGGCTTGGCATGATTTCGACGACACCACATATAATCCTAAAATCCCAAAACATATATTTAATATTTATATACTTACAATATGCGCATATACAATATATATATATATATTATAAGAGCAGGTATACTCACATGGCTATATCCACGTACGCTATAATAATAATAATATTGTTTACGAAGAAACTTCGTATAATTTGTATAATTAATCGTACCATTAAATACTCGACTTTAAAATGTATATCAATGCAATAATTACACAATGCGGTATAATACACAAACATACAATGAATAATATTATAAATTATACTTAATCGACTACGAATAGGGCACACATTTATCACACACAGTCACCACGTGGAGAAAAGGACCCACCCTTATGCGAAACGTGTGGAGTGGACCTCACAGTAAACACATAATCACCGAATGCCAAAAATACGAAGACATGAGGAAAATACATCATATATATCGAGTAATGGGAAAAGCGCTTGGACCAAACCCTCAATCAATAAAAAACACATTACAATTTATAAGAAAAACATAACTATACAACGTAATTTAAGACATATAACAACATAATGTAAATATAATTAATATAAGCTAATTTTAAGTTCATACTAATGTTAAACTAATGGCCATAGAAGCCGATATTTTATTTAAAGATAAATAAAAAAAAAAAATTAAAAAATATTATAAAGTCAATAACCATTACGTCACGTCACGCTGAAATTAATAATATTGTGTTTAAATAACAAAGACATTTCAATTAAATGAGAATTTTATTTTAAAAGAATCTTTTTACTTTGTATTATATTTATTACAAACCCTTCAACTCATATTTAAAAATGGTATATTATATAATAATTATATAATAAGTTGCATGTACTTATTTTATTAAATAATATTTTAATTTCAACCACGAAACAATAATATTATGAACACGAAACCAAATACTATTCAGTATTTCTCATGGATTACTGTTTATAAGTAATAAGCACAACTCTACACGAGCATATTAAAATATAGTGTAAGGTATTATTAGGATATTATCAAACAAAAATGATTAAAACTATTATACATACATTATTATACTGGTACATATATGCTATTATTATACTTGTGATATATATAAGTGTAATAGTATTATTCGAACTTCCGGGAAACTAATATCTTGAAGAATCAGCTAAACACTACATAAACTTTCAAGCTGCATTCCTTTTATAAAATTATATGTTTATCTTACATATATCATAAACAATATATTTGCAATCAATGTAAATATTCATACACTATATTTATTAAATTCAATAGATTTTTAATTTAAATCAAGTTAATAATTTTTATATTTAAATAGCACCTATATTATATAGAACATTATAATATTATGTTGTATATTTCAATAGTTATATAGCTATTTGTTACTTTCTATAAATAAACTGTGTGAATAAACTTTAAATTTAAACAATACAAACACTAAAATTAAAATGGTATTAAGTATCTGAGTGGGTTTCCAAAAAAATTATAGTAAGCAGAATATATAATATACGATACACTATAATATTCTTCGTATTAGAGACATTTCTTAGTTACTTCTTTAATAGCAACATTCTTATGTTACATATCAAATTTCACTCAATGGTTAATCTTACAAGATTTGTTTTTATTTTTATTTACGTTTTATAATGTTGTGTAGTTTACTGTTAACACTTACATTAATACATAGTACACACATTTTACATTTTAAAACAATTAATTTTCATATTTAAAAAAAGTAATTAAGTGAGATCATGTCTTCAGCTACCAATATATTTTGAGTATTCATTAAAGCAAATTCTTGCTGTAAGAAACTGTAATAATAATTATTTATTACATTTTAACTTTGAAAAACGTTAAATATCTTATTAACTAAAAACATATCTTAAGTAAAGTACTACAAAATATTTTTGTGGAATAATTTGAATTAGTTTATTTTTTTTTTTATGTAGCCTTTTAAAAACTATGGTTTTATATTTAAGCCAAGTTGTTACGACAAAATATTGTTATAATTAGTCAACATATATTCTGTATTAAATAATATTTATAAGTTTTGTATACGTAGTTATAAAGAAAAAATAGCATTTATTTTGTCGATATATGCTTTGTATTATTAAAAATTTGAATTTTTTTAAAATATGTATTGTACTTAAGAGGAAGTTACACTCACATAATGTTGTCTTCGTCTCACACTCGTACGACGTAGTAAATTTTCGTTCACCAGTTTCAATAGTATGCTTTTAGTTTTTATACTTGAGTATATGAGCATTTTCTAATATTTATGTTTTTCATACTCATTAATTCATAATTAACTTAAAAATTAAAATATCATAGATAATTTTTTTACTTAAAAGTTTAATTATAATAGTCAATTCACTCTACTTAGTATAAAAACTAAAAGCACATAATTAAAACTAGTGAAAGAAAATTTATTATGTCGTACGTGTGTGAGATGAAGACAACACATGTGAGTGCGACGTCCTCTTAACATCTATTTAAATTGGTGTTTATGTACTTTAGACATTGATATGGTAGGTATACTAAAATAATATTATAATAATATATATTATATTATACGGGTATGAATTCCAATACATTTATTATGGTATAATACCGGGTGTATTTCATAAAATACAGTGATATTAAAGCATATAACATTATATTTATAATTAAAGCACACAGAAACTTGAGTTCGTTGTGTACAATAACTGTATATTTACACCATTGATATAAGATAGTTCTAACATTGTAGTAATATTGAAAGATGAACACTAACTGCAGAGAGTTTCCATTAAATACTATTGTCTATATAATGGAAAAGTGGTATTCGTATTCACTATAATTTATTATCTAAATCTAAAAAGCCATAATTTTTATATTGACTATTCTTATTAATACTCAAAGATCGTTTATTTAACTATAAATATATCGATTTTTGTACTTTAATTTTATCTGCCCCTTAAATTATATACAAGTAATAAATAACTTTTTTTTTATTTATTTAAACTTTGTGTTTACAATTAGTTTCGACAATTATTAGGTACAGTAAAAAAGTTGCTCACAAAGAGAAAGAGTAATTAACATAGATCCCTTTATCAATTATTTTGTTTATCTCTGTACAAAATTTAAATACGGTTGACGAAAGAAAATAAGTGTTATGGAGCGGAAATGATAGGAATTGTAATTTTGTTAATTAAGGATGTTAGAGCCAGCAGGATAGGGTTTAGAATAGAAATAAGTAACTTATAGTTAATACTTTAGTAAATTCTTGGAACCTCACTGGCTACCTATTGACAAAACTTAGATAGTTTATACAACTCAATATCAATTTATTTAAATTTTGATACATTATAAGGTATATATTATGCAAATAAAATTAAATATTTTTATTTATATATGTACCGTATGCAGACCAAATGTATTGGAACGCAGTGCTTCTAATGGCCTGGTCTTTGGCCACGGTCACCGCCATCTTGGATTCGACTAGGAGTCAACATTATTGGGAAGACGCGAAACCCGAAGAAGTTCCTCGCTATCAAAATGACAACATGCTGAAAACCTATGTGTTCAGAGGAGGAAATAAGCAATTCGTCACTTCTGTATTTCCAGGTATACGAATATATTTAATAATTAGTTGTTTATAATTTCATCACACAAACTAATAAATGCAATCGATCGTCTTGATTAAAATATGATTTTACATGTTTTCGTTTCTCCGTAGAAATAAAAAGTGATAACATTGATTCAATACTATAGTGAACTGAAATGAGTTTCTTTTAATACTCAGTTTCTGTATCCTGTCTAGCTTTGTCATACGAATTTAGAATAATAAATAGACAACCAAATGACAACCTTTTAATAACAAAACATAAAATCTGTTTTAAAATATCATATTAAATATAATTATATATAAATTAAATACTATTTCGACAACGATCTATAAATTGTTTATTTAGTTTATAGTACAGTGTTGTAAAAGTTTTAGTATAACTTTAAAACATTATTGTAGATTTTCAATTTGGTAATTTGATAGTTAAATCAGAGATACCTTATTAATAAACATATGATGATTAAATTAACAATTATAAATAAAATTTAAAAATTTTATGATAGTAAAAAAAGAAACAATCTTTTAAAGAATTTATAATAGTCTACTATATTTAAATATATTATAACTTATAAGAATGTTGACTAATACTGATATACATATTTATAACAAATATTGTTATAATTATCTTATCTTTAAAAAAAAAGAATAATTTTTTAAATGGCATTTCATTCAATTACTATATTAATGGAAAGCTTTTACCGAGTTTTTACTTGCAAAGATATATTTTCTTTAATATTTTTTTCCTCTCTCATTTAAATGTATATATTTTTACTCGAATTCAATAAAGTAAAATTATTTTATCTCCGAAGAATTATTTCAAAGAATACATTTTCCAACAATTCTTTGAAAAAGCGTCTAAATTCATTACAAATGTTAATAAATTTATATTTATAAAAATAATGAATGTGATATTTCTATTAGCTCATTGTTTTAGTTTTAAATTATCTTTAAAATTGATAGAAATAAAATTAATTTAATTTGGAAATTTAAATTTTAAAAGTTTAAATTTAATTTTAAAAGAAATGGGTATAATTAAATTACTAAACTTACGTTAAAAGTATTCATATATTAATATTATTAAATTTCATTACACAAGAATATATTTTACACAAAAAATGTACAACACTTAAAATTTCGTTAAAATATTATTATTATCAATATATCTTACAGAAATGGATGCCAGAGGATTTCATGAATATGTTTTTGATGGACTACAGCCGGATTTTCAGTGGCCGTCAATTAAGTTTAAAAGGAACTATTATCCGCAAGGAATTACGTCTCGAGGGTTCAGTGATGATATTTTTCACCAAAGCTTTGGAATGTTCGAGCCTTTAAAAAGGTACATAAATAAAAATAATAGAATATATTTCCAAAAAAACTCAAATAAACTCATTAAGCGATCGAAGTTTTAACGCGAGATTAATTTTGAGATCATATTATATTTTAATATAATAAATATACAAATAATATTTCCTAAAGCATATTTATAAATATATCTGTAAAACAATTAACAACACTTAACATCGCTTTAAGTAGATACAGGAAATTATCGAAATTAATTTATGTGTTTCAATAATAAACAGAAATGTATGAAAAATAATATTAGTACCTAATTATAGTTATCGTGTAATATTTAAAAAGATATGAAAGGTTACCTAATGACTCGTTTTTATGTATCCGTGTACTGTGTAAGAAATTATTAAAGCGTGTAAATTAAAATTATAATATATTTTTAAAATTAATTTTAAAACTATTCTGTTAGTTTAATTTTTATTAAATAATAAATATTAGTAAATTTGAAATAATCTTTCCGGTAAAGTAACTTTACGATGATGAATAAACAATCATTCATATACTTTACTTATATTATATCTGACGATAATTATATTAGTACTACAAAAATATATAAGCTGATCTTTACTACCATAAAAAATTTCAAAATATTAATAATTATAAATACAAATAGTATTTTTCTTTGGATTTTCTTATAATTTATATCGTTTAAATAAAATATTCATTCAATGAAACTGATAGCTGAAATTAGAAAAGAATATTAAATAATAATTCCGAAGAAAAATAACCAAATAACATAATTCACATCCATAGGTGTGCACACACTTCTGAGTCAGGTATAGCTAAATTCAATCTGACTATCCAATCTCCACCCCCTCCCCGCCACGGACATACAAGAAAAAAATTATGTCTATGAGCACAACTAGGTAGTATATATTTAATTGTGTAAATATCTATGATTTGATTTATTTTGTTATCAATTTTCTATGGCTATAACGCCTTATTAGTTATTACATTTTTAGGTACCAAGTACCCACTCGCTTATAAAAAAATCCAATAAAAAACCATAAAAAAAGTCCAATCAACTTTATTCGTACGTACCCCTATGTTCACATAAATACTATTATATTTAACATTTTTACCAATACTCCATTCCAGTGGCGAAGCGTCATAGGAGACAATGTCTCATTGTCTCCCCACTTAAAAATTAGAACACAAGACAAATAATTTTATTTCATAAAATATTCACAAATTTAAACGTCATTTATATTAAATATTACGGTCTATTACCATTGCTCCGAGCTGTACCCGTGCCGGGTCGGTAAACTCAGATCTGTCTCCAAAGGCTGTACTTGTCTAATATCACTTATTGATTGTGATTAAAAATCGAAACCACACGTATCTATATCGTTGTTTTTATTGCATAAAATTAATTTAAAATCTTTCAAAATATTAAAGATATTTATTAAATTAAACTTAAAATTTAAATTTAAAAGATAATATATTTTTACGTTCTTGGTTAGACACGTTTAATATAATATAATATAATATAATATAAAACGTATATACCCTATGGAATTTGGAAAATCCAGCGCCCGTGTACCCTCGAATCCATTTAAGAGATGCTCAGTGCTTTAGCATCGAGTACCGGCAGATTATTATCGTTCACGCGTGTCAAGGCATGTCCGATCTGTGGAAAACACGTCCGAGAACCCGAAAAGAAAATTGTCACATACTACATTTTTTCGACCCGGAACTGCATCGGTTGCCCGGTCTGGACAAGTGAATGATCATATTTAAAATGCATTAGATAATATTTTATTCCTACTCGGAGGGATCCCGACCCGGAGCAGTGGGAATAGACCTTTATGTATGTTTTAATATATTTTGTTAAAATCGGTTTTCTGTTGTACAAGTTATAGTCTTATAGAATTCTTAAAATAAATTAGTTGTGCGAGATACGACTTTATATACGGGTCATCATAAATGTTATGGAAGGTATAATACCAAAGAAACGTTGCAGTACAACGTCTCCCAATTATTGGCGCGCGGGTACAGAGGGAATTTTAATATGAATGAGGTTTACTAATACGCTATTAGACGTATCTCGCCGTTCGTATTTCCTCGATTATCGACGTCACCATTATACACTGCAAATCGTGATAGCCGATAGGTACGTGTTGCTTAATATTTGTTGTTTTTATATTGTAATATTTGTCCTGAAGACCTGTGATTTAATTAATACTACTTTGAACGATGGAATAATAATTACTCATACGAAAAAATAATTGAATTAAACAAATAAAAGACCATGTCCTTATTAAATTTAACAGCAACTGTGAGTTGAGGGAAAATCAATTTGACTAAACAAAAATATTATGTAATTTATCATTATGTGGTATAAATATCACGTAATAGGTACATATGAATATTATAATCTATAAATTAAAGACGATTTGTATATTACAACACTATGTAATACAGTTATTAATATTTTATGTTATAATAATATATGATCAACATTTTATCTTAAATAAATTGATAGCGTTTTTTTTTTTTTTTTGTTTATTGCAAAATAAAGTTTAAAAATAAACAAATTCTGAGAATATTTTATATTTTTAATGTATGTACCTATCTATTATTAAGTATTATTGCGTATCTATTTATTAGGAATTGAATATTCTAATTAATAATTATTTTACATTCTGAAAGAAACGATGAATTTATTGATTTTACAATGTCTTTTTATTATTCTCTTTTTTTCTGTCTGTCGTCACATTTTGGGGCAGAAAAATGCTTTGATTTTTGAAAATAGGTATGGTTTCTAGTATCAAATTAAATCTAACCAGTACTTTAGGAAGATTTTCTCATTACTATTTTTTAATTTTTTATAATCAAGAAAAACGAAAAAAAAATTAAGGAAAAATAAACATTTTTACACGAATCCGATTTTTGACAAAATCGATAAAACTCAAAAATAAATATTTGAAGATGCTTGATGTTTTCACCAAATGTTTATACTATGATTTTCTATTTACAATACAATTTTTATATGTATAATTTATTTTTTTTATAAAGGTACCCAGATAAAAATTATTTACTGGGTCAAAATTCTTAAAAATTTAATGTAAGACCCCACATAAATTGTTCTTAAATCTGTATAAAAATATTAAAAATACATAAACACACATTTTTTTTTTTTATACATTTTATCAATTTACCACAATACTGAAATTAAAATAAATAACTTAAATAGCTGTATCAAAAAAACATTGTGAAGTATACTTATTGACGTAGGCTAGCAGACCATCTACCCTCGAGAATCGTTTTTTATGTAAAGTTATACATAATTGAATTCAATTTTAAAACATCCCTAATTGTAACCCACTTGACACCTAATGTACAGCAAAGTGATACCTACATGCCTACCTTTTTTTATTTGTGCTTCCTAAAAACGGCCAAAATAATTTATTACACAAAATACTGAGAATATTTTACTGTATATGTGTATTTTACAGAAATGTACACATCCAGATTGTACATAATGACTCATACAATAACCCTTGTGAGTCATAATATTTCACATCGAATGATAAAACTGTTGGTTAAAAAACTATTAAAAAATAACGTTATATAATAAATAGCAAATTTTGGAATACAAGTATATACAGAATTATGATGGAAAAAAACAATGAAACTTTTAGACAATATCTTGTAAACCATAATTTCAATTACTGATGACGTACTCGTTAATATTTGTATAAAATTGGAAATAAATCAAAATTGAATTTCATTATTAGACATAAAAGTCCAGTTTGGAACATCTTAAAAGACACTAACAATGATTCATACATATTTCATGCCCACAAATTGTACAACAATATCATCGATCATTGATCATAATTCATAATAAACAATAAACATATAACAACAATTAATACTTATGTTCACTCATTGGACCTCGCACCAAGATAAAATCTCCGGTCTAAGCACGACGAGTAAATTACCTAACTAAATCATGAAATGTGTATTTAATAATTCAGTTACAAGCATAATTATAATGTTTATGAATTAAATTTAATAATACGATAATACAATATATTTAGTAATTTGGAAAAAAACTTGATCAACAATTGTAATCAGATATAAATTGTATTAAATAATATATAATTTTCTGAATTATAATGTAGAAGCTAAATTAGATAAACAATAATTATAATTAAGTATTTATATACGTAAATTAAATGTTTACGGTCTCAAAAAGTAACGATTTATTTAGTTTTTTCCAAACATCATTGCAAAATCAATAAATTTATCGTTACGCTCAGAATTTAAAACCATGCTATATTATATATTATACTAATTATTATAAAATAACCCATAAAAAATAAGAATTCCTTATTAAAAATACGAATCAACCTTTTAATTAATTCACTGATAGTTTATTATAAGTTATAACTTATAATTAAATAGTGCTGACATGATATTGGACATTATAATAGAGTTGGAATAAATTTTTGTAGACACCATATTTCGGAAAAGCATTTATAACTCAATGCAAATTACGAATACACATAAAAATAATAAAAATTATCGGTAAATTTATAAATATACATTTTTTTCTTACCATTTCCAATCTCTTAATAGAATTTTTGTGAATTATCAGTTAAAACATTATATTTTAATTGTTATTTTTACTAACAATTTATCTTTAGTTATAAACTTGCTAAAAAAAATAAATGCTATAATTTAGATTTTTAAAATTTTGTACACTCAATTGAATAATTTATTATTTTTACCATTTATTTTAATCATTATTAGTTTTATAATTATACTATGCAAAAGATTTATTATTTCATCGACATATAGTTCAACATAATTACATCCACAGAATAATTTAAAAAGTAAACAATGATTACGCGAATTGTATCACATTAATCTTATGATATCATCTCATTAAATTATATTATAAAAACACTTTTCACATTTTTTTTAAGAACTATTTTTAACTATTTATTGAGATAAAATTTTAAAATAAATTTGTATATTATAATTTAATTTGAATTTGAATTAATATTTTTGAGTGACTTGACTAATTTATCAATGTTATAATATATTCAATTGTCATTCAAGTAATAAATTAAATGAATATAAAATATTATATTTTATTAATGTTGTATTTCTATTTTCATTATACATTTTTAAATGATTAATGATATTTATTAAATAGTTTTTAGAGTTAATTAATATTTTGAAAAAGTTAAAGCCATTTTAGCAACCCGCTGACCTACAAAAATGTTATTGGTACTCATTTATTATGATTTATGTTAAATAAATATAGTTTTTACTAAAAAAAAAAATTTGAATGGCTTAGTGTTATAAATATTACCTCTGTTATTAATATTACTAATAGAATGATAATTTCGTTTACTTTATTATTTTATTTTTATCAGTATCAATAAGACGATACATATTTAACATATAAAACAAACTTGGGTATTAATGATTTGTCCTAATAATAGAGTTGAAAAATTTTGTAATAATACGATTTTTTTGTAATTTTTATATTATAGTTATAATTTTGATATACTATTTATAAATTCGTTTTTGTAGGTACCTAGTACCTACATTTATCTCATACATAATAAAGGTGATGGCTAAAACAAATCAAATCATGTCCCAGATAAAAACAATCAACTGTTTGATAAATATACTTACGTACTTGGTATGTATAGATTGCTATATTTCTTTTTTTATGACCTGCGTACATTGCACACTCATATAATGCGTGCGCATATATGTTTAGTCCCATTTTCGATAAAGATAACTTCAATTGCGTTTACATTTTACAGATAACCATAATAATAAACAAAAAAAAAAACAATAACAATTTCCCATTTCATGTTAAAATCGAGATACATTGACCTATTATGTATTATTATAAAATTAAAAAGTAATGTAACATTATAATGCTATATCTACATAATATAGAGTTAACCTGTATCATAACAATGTTTTTACTTACTAAGTATTTATTTTATTTGAAAGTCATAATAATAAATACATTTTATTTTTATTTTATTTTTAATATGACTCATTATAAATACTCATTATAAAATCATATAATAAGTCATAACTTATAATTTTAATACTATAAAATAATTTTATATGGAAATAAAACAAAGCATTTTAAGCAAGGAAACTACACAATAGTTTTAACTAGCTGCATTAAGCTACGTGTGATTGTAATCTAACGGATTTAGGTGTGGGACAATGGCGTACTAAGGGTGATCAGAGGGTGTAGGCGCATCTAAACCAGTTCACTTTTATTTAACAATTCTAAATTATTATACAAATTGAATAAATAAACCATGCAATTATTTTTTTATTTTTTTTTTTTTTTTTAATGTATAAAATCCCAAATGTTGAAGTTACGCTACTGGTGAGAGACATAAATCCGCCATAAGATAGTACGATCATTGCACGTACGCATGAACTCGAAAATACGTGAACCATGGTAATCTAACGGTACGTATCGCTTTACCATACGGGATACAACCAAGAATAGTGGAGAAAATATCTGTAGGGAAGAACTTGACAAAGGCATTTTTCAGACATGATTTACCAAAGTTAAAATGAGCACCTTCACACCAGTCTAGATCAGGATTATATTTTTTGTACTTGATAATATTTTGAATCAAAAAATACTTAAAAATAATTTGAGGCTTACATTTTTTATACCACAAACACATCTGTACACAATTCCTAACATATAAATCACTACAACTGTAGTTGTCAGTTCACCATATTATAATAATTATTATAAAATATAAACTATTATAGGTACCTATTATCGTTTATATACATAATATATGGTATACTATTTACGTTGTTCAATTTGATTAAATTGTATTTCCAATTTAAAATCATATTTAATATTTTAATTTATAATCATAAAAGTTATGAAATATCAAATTAATACAAACAAACATTTAAGATCCAATTCGTGTAAATCAGATCTATTCGTATGCTTAATAATTATATTTATAACAGCGAATTTTATGGTTTAAATATTACTTTTAAGAAAATTAAGTAATAATGAATCGATAAAATAATTATTTTGGTTTTTCAAAAGAATTGATGAATTCGTATCATCGCTCCGCTCGCTAAACTCATTGAACGGGTCATAATATTAATGCTTCCCTCGAGAATTTGATAATGATGTTATAATTGTTATATATTATCTAACTTAAATTTATATGATATTGTATGTGATGCTTTTAAAATATAGCAGCTGTAATATATTATAATCCACGGTGGACACTGAGGCAGGACAACTAATAATTTAACTCATTAACTTAAATTAATATAAAAATATTATAGTTGAGCTTAAAATTAAAAACCAATTACATTTTTTTAACCAAGTATTTATAATTTAAACGAAATTGCACGAAAACAATGATATGCAGTTAAAATATTACCTATAGGCTATAAGAGTAGGTAACGTCAGCAGAAAAAAATTATATAAAGTTATTAGTTATTTAGATTAATTGTTGATAAGATTAAGCGGCATTAATAATATTCATCGATTAGATCGTAAAAACAAGTTATTTAGTAGTGTTATTATTGAAAGATTTGAAATTAATGTGGTCGGATAAGATTCTAAATTTCTATGGAAAAGTATACAAAGTTGTATTTTTTCAAATTATTTTAATCTTCATTGAAATATAGAAATATAGCGCATTTAACGCTTAAACAGTATATAATAATATAGTGTTTTAGATACAATACAGAGTGATTTTTTTATCGTGAACCAGTTAATATCTCGGGAAGTATTAGGAATTTTAAAATAATTTTTTTTTTTTTTAACTTTCTAGGTTTTACTTTTTTACACTGTGTTACAATTTTGATAATTTTAACTTCCTCCCTTATTTGATAAAACATTAGGTATCAACTTTCGATTTTCAAATGGCAATACCTATTTTCGATAACGAAAATCTATAAACATACTGAAAAAAATAATTTTAACGTTTATAGAATTTAATTTGAGTAATCCGTTTGCGACTTATTAATGATTCGATATTCGTTCAATTTACTGCTACTGGGCAATCTTACAAACCCAACAGTAAAAACCAGAAGTCAAAACGAAATTTTATCTCAATTTAACACTAGTCATAATTGATAATAACAAGAT